AAATTACTAAAAAAAAAAAAAAAAGCAGAAGAAGAAGAAGAAAAAGCAGAAGAAGAAGAAGAAAAAGCAGAAGAAAAAGAAAAAAAAAATTTATTACTGCTTGAATAGTTTTTTTGTTTTTTTTTTTTTTTGCATGACGTAATAATAATAATTCACGAAGACATTTTTTTATTAACGAAAAAATTAATAAATAAATAAATCGATAAATCGATAAATTAATTTTATTTTGTGGGGGGCTAATTAATAATAAAATAATTTCGATTATTTAACAACAAAGAAGAAAAAAAAAGCTCTTTAGAAAGTTCTCTCGTTTTGAAAAATTGTAACAATTTTAATTTTACTTTTTTTTCCTCCCTTCTTCTTCTTCTTCTTTCCGTTTCCGGTTCTTTAATATTTTTCACCACGGAAAGCCTTAACTTTCGCACCCCTCTCGCTCTCTCCCTTTCTCTCTCACTTTTAATTCTTTTTCGAACGAACGCCTACTTCTAATTTCTTTATTCACATCAATTATTATTATTATTATTATTATTATTATTATTATTATTATTATTATTATCATTTTCATCATCATCAACTTATTTTATTTATTCAACCTTTAATATTTTCCTTTTTTTTTAGGGAGAGAGGAAGAGAGAGAAAAAAGAAGAAAGGTAAAAAGAAAAGTTTTATAAAAGTTAAAGAGAATAAAAGTTTTTTTTTTTCCGCCGTCGAAAAAAAAGCTTGCCAACCGTAGGCACACTAGAGGCCATCCGCATAAGCAAAATCTTTAACCTCCTATTCCCCCTACTCCCCCCTCTCGCCCGCGAAAATGATTTATGATATTGAGGCATAATGGAGGCGACCCCTACGACTCCCTGCTGGTATGAGCTCCATCGGATGCCGTTGTTTGCCCCGGCTCTTTTCTGAATGACAATGGGACCCAGATAAGTCCTCCTCCTTTCCCCTCCCCATCCCTCCGCGCCCGCTTTTTCATCTCCTTTTTCTCTCTCTCTCCCTCCCTTTTTTAACCTTCTCTCTCCTCTTTTTCTTTCCTTCCTTCCTTTCCCCATTTCCCCACTTCCCTTTCCCCTTTCTCTTTTCTAACGAAATAATGGTTGACTCTGCGTCGTGAATACTAACTAAAAAAGTCAAAGAGGTCGTTGACAGTCCTAATCTTCCTTCAATAAATTTTTTTCTCGTTTAATGCCGCCGCATTATTTATTTTCTCCGGAGAAAATTATGATATATATATTTTTATTTGTATTTGAATCCTCTAAACATTAATACCTAATTTTTTAAATGTAATTTATATGGTCGAAAATAATAATAATAATAATAATAATAACGATAGACTAGGGTAAGAAAAACGGTACAACACGTGAGTTTTAACGAATAAAAAAAAAAAAAATTACACCGAAATTAATGGGATTGATAAAATACAATATAAAATGACTTACCCGCTGCTGGAGAAAGTTTTGTAACGACTCCCCATCTTTGTTTCCACTAGAAAAAAAAAAAAAAAATTAAAAATTAAAAATTTAATCACACGTAATAATATTTATTTAAAAAAAAAAAAAAAAAAAAAAATTAAACTAAACAAATAAAATCTCGTTTAAATTTTTCCTTTTTTCTTTTTTATTATTTCAAACAAAAAAAAAGAAAAGTTTTTTTTTTTTTTTATTTACATTCATTAATTCATTTCCGTTTCCTGAATTTTTTTTTCCTTTTTTTTCCCCTTTTCCCCTTCTTTTAACACTTTTATTTGCTTTGAATTCTTTCTTTCATTATTATTATTATTTATTTTTACTTTCGTACATTTAATTTTCAATTTTTTTTCGGGAAATTAAAAAAAAAAAAAATTATTGAAAAATTTCACGAGAATTTTATTTATTTATTTATTTATTCATTCATATTAAAATAATGATAATGATAATAATAATGATAAAGGGACAAAAAAAAAATGATAATAATAATTCGTGATAGGCTATCACCGCCGTCTCGTCGTGAAATGCAAATTTTTAGGGAGATAATTTCAAAAGCTTTTGCTCGACCGGAAATAACTTCTCTATCTTCCGTTTGCCCACCTCTCTCAATGCTTTCTCTTTATTCTCCCTCTCCCTCCCCCCCTTCCCCTCCTCCTCCCCGTCGCCGTTGTGTATTTCTGGAATGTTCTGGAAATAGCATAATCAATAAATTTTGCTTTTCTCTTTGTTTATTTATTTCTTTAAGCTTTTGCTCTTTCAACTGAATGAAAACAGAGAAAATTTTGTTTAAGAATTAAAATGATACAAGATTTAAGTTTTTTTTTTCCTTTTTTTTGTTTCCTTTTTTAAATTTTTTTTTTTTGTGTGTGTTTCTTTTGTGATTAGCAAAATGAATTATAACAAAAAAAAAACGTTTTTCCTTTTATGTTTTATTTTTAACTTCGACGACGATTGCGCATTATTATTATTATTATTATTATTATTTAAAATAAATTCATTACTTCGTGAAAATAATAAAAAACATTACGGAAAAGTGTTTTGATGAATTTTAATTCGAATCAAAAGAAAATAAATAAAAATAATAATTTGTTCCGATTCATTTGCATTTTGAATGAATACAAACAAAAAAACCAACAAACACACACACACACACACACTTCCGGTTTGCTTTCATTTCGCCGCCAAAATTTAAAAAAAAAAAAAACAAAAAAAAGAAAAAAAATTTTTTGTTTTTTTCATCATTTTTAACGTGTAATTTTTTTTTATTTACCATTTGGGAATTATAAGATGAACTTTTTCGTTATGTTAAACAAATAGGAAGAAAGGGGTTTTTAAGAGTTCTGATTTTTCGTTTTTTCTTTTTCAAATTTGTTTTGTTTCGTTTGTTTTTTTTTTTATTTCTTTGGGGGTAAAATGGGAGTTTCGATTTCGGTTAAATTTCACGCTGGAAAATTTCCTGTTGGATATAATTTGACCTTTTAGCAAACGTGTCGTCATTGTTTTATGTGACCTCAAGAGATTTTCAAATAATTATCGGGAAAACAACAACAACAACACGACAAACTTTAAATTGAAAACACTAGTTTCATTTAATCATTAAATTTACAACACATTTAAAATAAAAAAAAAATTTTTTTCGCTAAACAAAATATATATATATATATATATATATATATATATATATATATATATATATATTTATATCTATCGATTATTGATTGATCGTTTAAAATTAAATTTTAAAAAATAAGGCCGGGAGGGAAGGGGGACCGAGTGAAATGGAATGGAGAGAGAGAGAGAGAGAAAAGTAAAATCTCATTATTTTTCTTTTCAAATACTAATTTCTACCTTTTTCTTGTTTTCTTTCTTTTTTTTTCTTTTCTTATTCTATTCAAGTGTTTAAAAAACTTTTAAAATTCTTCTTCTAAACAAAGAAGGATAAAAGCGTTCTATTTTCCCTATTGCATTTTAAACATAATAAAATTGAGCATTCGACAATAGAAAATTATAAACAATGATCTTACATGACGCCATGAATAAAACACACGCACACGCACTCACGCACTCACTCGCTCGTTCGATGATGAAAATATTAAAAAGCTCTCTCTCTCTCATTCTTTCTAAAAACTTATAGAAATTAATTAGGTGCCGGAGGATTTAGTGGTTGGAGTAACAACAACAACAACAACAACAACAACAACAACAACAATGCCATCATCCAATATAGAATTTAAGGAAATAAAAAAAAAAAAAAAAAAAAAAAGTTTATACTTCATTAGTAAAATTTAAATCAATTTTTAATCCTTGAATATAAATTTAATCCGCGTTTTTTTTTTTTATTAAAAAATAAATAAATTATTTAATTAATTTTTTCTTATTGATATGTACAATCATAAGATTTACTAAAACGTTTGCTGTCTGAAGACAAAAAAAAAAAATGATAATAATAATAAAGTTTATTTTAAAAAAAATTTTAAATAAAAAACTTTTTATTATTATTTTTTTTTCAAATAGTTTCTGGAACTTTTCTTTTTTTTTTTTTATTTACTTAAGAAAATCTTTCAGAAAAAAAATTTTCTTTTTTTTTTTTTTATTCAAAATATTTAAAATTTCTTAATTGAAAAATCTTTTCCAACTTTTTATTATTATTATTATTTTATTTTTATTTTTTATTTTTTCTGTGTAGTTTTTTTTTTTTTTTTTTTTTAATAATATTATTTTACGATTAACTTTATCGCGTATCGAGTCATGAATATAAATTAGTTATTTGATTTTTCCGAAAATGTAATAATAATAATAATAATAATAATAATAATAATAATAATAATAATAATAATAATAATAATAATAATAATAATACTAAATTTCAATATCCTTTGGTAAAAGAAAAAAAATGCATAGTTTTTTTTTTTTTTTTTTGAAAAAATTGATATTCTAATGATTTTCCTCCCTTTTTTTCCTTTTTTTTCCTTTTTTTTCCTTTGATGCAACTTTTATTTATTTACAACTTTAAAAAATTGAATTATTATTATTATTATTTTTTTTTAGTTTAAAATTAAATTTAAAAATAAAAAAAGAGAAAAAAAAGAGAAGGAAAACAAAAGGAAAGGGAAAAGTTGAAAATCATTCTTCAACAGGTTCAAAACAAATAAATAAAAGGTTTCGCACTAACTAAGAAGGCGGCAGGGGGGGTTCGGTCAATAAAAATTTCTTTTCTTTCTCCCCTCACCCCCCCTCTTCAACCTCCCTCCCCCCGTCAAAAAGGGAAGCATAATTCTTTTACGAATCGGGGAAAGGATACAAAAAAAAAAAAAAAAGAAAAAAAAAGAAAAAGGC